GGGGACAAGCGCTTCTTCAGATGTTCCTTCTATACTGGAAGACATACTGAAGAAGCAAGGGCGGGCTCGGTGTTCACTAACCCTGTCACCGGGCTGGATCTTGGTCGTTTCCTTGATACCACCGCCGGTCACGTGGCGTCAAACGCGCGTGCAACCCGCAGACCGTGTTCGACGCGGAACGGGGACCTTGCCTTAACCGGCCGGGTCACGAGGAGTTACCCTCTATAAAAAGAACACCCAATCCCAAACGGGGGACAGCGTGAGGGGATGCATGGTTGAGGATTAGTCAATCGCTACTGTCCCACCCCCAGGTACCGGCCGACCCCTGGGAGTATCTAGGCTTACTCGGGTAAGGAGGCTCTGCCCGGGCGGACGACATTTTTCCTTTCTTACTCGTGCGAACTGAATGGATAATCTTAAAACCAATTCAAAAAATTCAGAGGGCCTCGTTGGCCGTGGGGAGGAGTCGCAAGCACGCGACACAAACAGGAGAGGAAGATTTGCTTCTCGTAGGCGAGAAGCCACGGGAGTACTTAGTGGTGCGGAGTCGGACTCGTCGTTGATGACCGTAACTTCATACCGGTCAGCAACATCTGAAGCGGACAGGAAGCGGCGTAAAGACAAGCCGCCATCAACAGAAGTAGGTGAGAGTGTCGCAGAGGCGAAAAGACCTGCGACTGAAAAGCTGTCAGGGACCGACGATGAGGCTACCATTGTGGCCTCTAAGAAAACAAGGGCTAAGGCGGATCTGCCGAAGGTAGAAGATCTGGCGAAAGCACTGGTTTCAAAATCAGTAATTGAACTCGGGAATAGTATTCGCAGCAACATACAAGCGATGGATAAGATGGCTGACAAAGGAAAGGGCTTGGCTGCCCATAATCTACGCATGGCCACTCGCCATATTGAGGCGGCAACATTGGAACTGGCACGAAGAGTCTCCCAGTCAGCAGATGTAGAAAGACTTGAAAGAGAAAACGAGCAGCTGCGTTCTCAGATTGGCGAACTCTCTAAAAAGGTGGATCTGCTCACAGAACATCTTAATGCTCCATGGAACTCGACTCCGCAGCATATTCCGAGTCGATTAACACCAGACGCGGACACTGAAGAACACCTAATGGGCCGAATTAGCGCGCTGATTGATTCCAAGTTGGCAGCTCTGGTATCAACCAAGGAGACAGAAGGCGAGCAAGCATTCAAGAAGCCTGTAAGACAAGGCGCAGAGAAGGCCGGAATTCAAAAGCAAAACGTAAGCCAACATTCTCTGGCCCCAATGCCTGACGAAGAGTCGACAGTTCGTAAAACATGGGCAGAAGTTGCCAAGAAAAATGCCAAGAATATGACAGGTAAACCCAAACAAGCACCAAAGCTTACCACAGATAGGAATATGGAAAGTCGGGGTGTTGCGCCAAAACCGTCCGCGAAACTTATGAAGCCCGGACGGATACCTAACACTGCGGCAATAACCATTACTGTGCCACCCGGCAGCGAGAGCTCATATGCTGCAGTTATGACTGCTGCGAAACAAAGGGTGAAGCTATCAGAATGCGGCATCACGGATAGCGTCCGCACGAGGCGAGCAGTGACAGGAGCTCTTATTCTTGAGATATCTGGCACTGACTACTCCTCGAAGGCGGATGCCCTAGCAAGTAAAATGCGGGAGGTATTGACTGATACGGACGCTATCATAGCGCGTCCAACAAAGTGCGGCGAAATACGAATAAAAGACCTCGATGAATCTATCACTCCGACAGATGTGGCAGCTGCAGTGGCAGAAGCTGGATGCTGCTCCGTCACAGAAATAAAGGTGGGCACGATTCGCCTGGCACCTTTGCGAATGGGCACGGTGTGGGTGAGATGCCCGCTCAGCGCAGTGCGCAGGATTGCTGTGGCGAAACGAATTTGTCTGGGGTGGACTGCTGCAAAGGTGGAAGTCCTTGCTCCAAGACCACTGCAATGCTACAAGTGTCTAGAATTGGGTCATGTTCGCAATCAGTGCCCAAATGAGAAGGACCGTAGTTCCCGGTGCTACTCTTGCGGAGACCTAGGTCATAAGGCCAGGGAGTGTATGGCAGGAGTTCTGAAGTGCCCGTTATGCACGGACCTCGGACGCCCGGCGACTCACCGACTAGGCTCAAAAGCCTGTGCTCCAAAAGCGAAAGCAAAAGGGAAAGGGAGTAAGCAGGCTCTCTTACCTAATGACACGCAAAGTGTGCCGGAGGCTACGGAACCTTCACTTTCGATAGAAAGCTAAAATTGTTGCAGACCAACCTTAACCACTGCCGCGTGGCGCAGGACCTGCTACTGCAAACTCTCGCGGAGTGGTCGGTTGCACTGGCTGTCATAGCAGAGCCCTACCGAGTACCTGACCACCCTAGTTGGTTCGGTGACAGTGCGGGCTTAGCCTCTATATACTGGAGTGTCGGATCAGGAGAACCCTCCTGCAATCTTCTAGCTAGAGGGCATGGTTTTGTTGCGGTCGAATGGGGTGCCATAGCAGTCATAGCCTGCTATGGCACCCCATTCGACCTAACTACTAACTAGTACATTTTTAATTTTTAGTGGCTACGTACTATATTTTTATAAAAACATTAACAGTGTATTAAACATTTATTTTCAACAAATATCATTTAGATATTCTGTTTTTATTAATTAAAGTGGCTCCATCTATGAACTGCAATGCCGAAGTGCCGTGCGTGTGGAAAATATACGGCGAATGCCGACTGTGTCCGTTGTTCTAAATGTTCAAATGTATACCACCGCGGCTGCTGCTCCGTACCTGCTGGACCTATCCCTGTAGGGTTTGCGTGTCAGAGCTGTAAGGCTAAGCCTGCTGACTACGTTTCCTCTGAAAACTCGAGCCCCGGTGAGGAAATAAATGCCCCAGGAAAGGTCGAGGCGGATTGCACCCGCATGCTTTGCCAGCTGATTCAGGAGGTCAAGGGGTTGCGCACGGACCTCAAAGAAGCAAGAATAGAGATACAGCAATTTAAGGCAGATCTGCAAGCCTGTTGCAATCGGATTGCTTCTGTTGAACAAAAAGTTCTCGAAGTTGAGCAAAAACTCGTTACAAAATCTTGTGACAACGCCCACCTCGAGAATACCATAGCTGACCTGAAAATACAACTGAACGAACGGGATCAAGAGCTGCTGCTGAATGACGTTGAAATAGCAGGCCTACCAGAGCAGAGAAGTGAAAACGTCCTCCATCTCGCCAGCCTCGTAGCCGTAAAGTTGGGGCTGACGCTTGAGGAGCGTGACGTTGTCCACGCCGAGCGACGGGGAGCCGTACGGCGCAACCGTGAAGACGGTGAGGGTGCGCCGCAGCGACCGCGGCCGCTGGTTGTGCGGCTGGCGCGTCGCGCTCAGCGTGACGCCTTGCTGCGCGCCGCGCGCGTCCGTCGCGGCTTATCTACGGCCGACATGGACCTGGCCGGAGAGCCCAGGAAAATATATGTCAACGAGCGCCTCACTCAATCCAATCGACAGCTGTTCGGTAAGGCACGGGAAGCCGCGTCCCGCGTACATTGGAAGTACGTGTGGACAAGAGGCGGGCAGATATTTACAAGGAAGGATGATGGTAAGTCCGTAGAACGGATTCGTAATGAAGGAGACATAAATAATTTTTTTGTTTAATAGTTAGTTCGGCCGGACGCAGCGATATAATACATTATAACAACATACTTTGTATACATTTTTTGTTATCTCTCTTTCATTACAAATATTATAACTTAATATTACAATACTTACTGTACATAAGGCTCGTCATATATTTACTATGTCCAAACAACTATTTAAATTATCTTTCAAATTTAATAAAATTGAATAGCATGTGTGCCGCAGATTTCATCATAATTGCTTTTTGTTTATTGTTTATTATACTTTTTTTTATATGCTTGTCGCTTGTCGCTTTTTGCTATACATTGTACGCTTGGGTAATGTCTCAAATTTTTAATTCTCGTTGGATAATTATCGCATACTTTCTTATTTACCACAGTGTAACATTACATAGTAATTTTATATGTACATTATTGAACAACCTGAACGCCGACAAACATTGCATACTTATCGGTCGGTCGACCTTTGTTTATTTTTATTTTTATGATAATATAATTCCTTCTCTTAACTTATTACCGTGTTATATTCTTTATTGCTGTTTTATAACGGTGAAATATTATTATAGTTATCACATAATGCTAACAAATAATGTGCGTGTAAGCGTTCTGTTTAAAGCTATACTTTACTTGTTTTTAATTTTTAGTGTTTATATCGCTTTTATATTTATAGTTTGGATTTTGTGTTGGGTTTGTTTGTGTTCTCGTTGCAATGGTGTCTGTGGGGATTTTTGCTGTTTTGTACATGGATGTTGGAAGTATTATTTATGTAAATATATTTGTAACCCTAAAATTGTATTTTGCCATACTTTTTCAATTTATAATTTGTTTATAACCTTATCAAAATGTGTAGTAATTGCAGTTTTATTGATAGTTTTGTTTCATGGTTATTGTTTTAGACTGATTTTGAGTATGTGTATTGACCGGCCTTAAGTCATTTTTGAGGATCGGTTTTCTCAATGTTGGTTCACTTAACACCTACTGTGACGACTTTATTGCACTTGTTGAGCACCATGCGATGGATGTGATGGCGGTGGGCGAGACGTAGCTACGTGCGGGCGAGGAGGGGAGCGCCCCACGGCCCGCCGGTTATCGGCTGCTGCATGCGCCGCGACCGCGCACAGTGCGCGGCGGCCGGGGTGGGGGGGTCGGCTTTTACTTGAAGCGCGGTATCAATGCCCGTGTGTTTGCTCACCCAGTCGAACCATCGCTCATTTTCGTTGAGCAAATGTGGTTAACGCTTAAAGTAGACAATAAGATGCTTGCAATAGGTACCGCATACCGTCCGCCGTGGCTTGACGTCGACTCATTTTTTGACGCGGTCACGGGTTCTATAAACTCTTTAGCTTTTTGTGATAATATTATCTTGCTCGGAGATTTTAACATCGACATGTTGCGAACTAACGATATAAAAGTTAATAAGTTTAATACATTTCTAACTTGCTTGAATCTGGTACAATTGGTCACGTCCCCTACTCATTTCACTGACCACAGCCAAACCTTAATAGATGTTGTTTGCACTGATTTACGAACACGCAATATTGAGGTCGAACCGGTCGCACCCCTAAGCAATCATGCTTTGTTAACTTTCGAACTTCACAGTGAAACACATAAATCATATGCAAAAAAAATAAAATATAGGTCACTTAAAGACATACCCTTAGACATTTTTAATTTATCTTTAAAATCAATTAATTGGAACGAAATAATTTCTACACTAGACATAGATCATAAAGTACACCTCTTTAATTCATATGTTTTACATTTATTTGATATATTTGCTCCGACTAAAACCATTGTGTCAAAAGCGCCTAACCCGCCTTGGATAACTGATACAATAAAGGTTATGATGAGACTTAGAAATTCAGCTCACAAGCGCTATTTGAAAAAAAAACTAGATTCGCATAGAATATATTACAAGGAATTAAGGACCCTAGTTGTTCATGCTATTCATAACGAAAAGCGTGGATTTTTTAATTTTAACATAAATAACAATTTGAAAAATCCAAAAATATTGTGGCGCAATTTGAAGTCAGCGGTTTTGCCCCCGAAGAAAGACACCCACTTACCCGCTCACCTTGCAAACCCTGACCAAATAAACTGTCATTTCTTAAATATACCTAGTATCCCATGTGTCGATCCGTCAAACTTGAACTATTTCGACACACACCTCTATACTAATAATATAAGTTTTTCCCTTCAGCCTGTCAATGAGCTATTGGTATCTAAAATCATTTCTAACCTTAAATCGAATGCAGAAGGCATCGATGGTATTTCCCTTAATATGTTGCTTATGACATTGCCTTATTCGCTTACTGCAATAACCTCTATTGTTAACTGTTCAATAGCAACATCTACCTTCCCAGAATTCTGGAAGACCGCTATAATCCGACCTTTACCAAAAAAATCTAACCCCCAGGAATTTAAAGACCTTCGCCCGATCAGTGTTTTAACCTGTATGTCAAAAATTGTTGAAAAAGTTGTTAGGCTCCAATTAGTGGAGTACTTAGAAACCAACAATGTGCTACCTGAATTCCAATCCGGGTTTAGAAAGGGGCATAGTACGACCACTGCTCTTTTGGATGTCACCGATAACATTATCATCGCTCAGGACGACGGAAAGTGCACATTGTTGGTGCTTCTGGATTTCTCACGGGCATTTGATTGCGTAGATATTTCTCTTCTTCTCTTCAAAATGTCGTATTACGGGTTCGAACCGAATACTGTGAGATGGTTCCATAGTTTCCTTACAGGTCGTGGTCAGTGTGTCGAAGTAGTTCGTGATGACGGTCGAACTTGCCGGTCTGACTATCGTCCCCTTACCAGAGGAACACCCCAGGGAACTATCCTCTCTCCTATTCTCTTTATTCTATATACTGCTGATATTATAAATTGTGTACAAAATTGCAAATATCACTTATACGCGGACGACTTACAGATATATATCTCATTTAAAACTAGTGAAATGGACTCTGCGATAAGATCCCTTAATGAGGACCTAGAAAGGATACAAATTTGGTGCAAAAACAACAGTCTCATTCTGAATCCCGCAAAGACAAATTACATAATTTTCGGTTCCAAATATCAGTTGAACGGTATACCGTCGGACTGCCGGGTAAGGTTAGGAACAGAATTTGTTGAGCGTGTTTACGAAGCTAGGAACTTAGGCTTAGAGCTAGACCAAAACCTACGCTACGAAAACTACATCTCAAAAATAGTACGTAACTGTTTTTATAGATTAAAAATACTATACAAAATTCGGGGATATATAAATGAACGTCTTCGTAAACAGTTAGTGGAGTCGATGGTGTTGTCAAAACTAAACTATACAGATGTAGTTTACGGACCACGTTTATATGCCAGGACTGAAAAAATAATTCAAAGGGTACAAAACGCGTGTGCCCGTTTTTGTTTTAATGTGCCACCACGTAGCCACGTTACGCCGTTTCTCAATGAGCACAACATTTTAAAAACAAGTTATCGTAGGAAACTGCACCTAGCTTGCCTTCTTTTCGATATCATAAAATCACAGTCACCTAAATACCTATTTTATAAACTGGAATGGATAAAAGGTCCGGAACGAAGGCAACGCTTTTTGCAACTATGCACAAAGCGGCACAAATCTGCCGCATTCCGAGGTAGTTTTCGTTACGCCGCCACCAAGTGTTGGAATAATATCCCGCCGCCTATCAAGACTGCGCAAACTAAGTTTACTTTTAAAAGAAAAATAAAATTATTTTTATTGTCTGTCCAAAAACTTTAAACTTATAAAAA